TTTTCTATACTATGCAATCTGATCTATTTATCCATATATCACACTATATTTCTTAAACCAAAAATCTCTTTAAGATTATTACAAAAACAAGACAATGACTGGCAGGCCAATGACTTTACTTGTTTCCAACATCCTCTCCTGACACTTTGTGCCCATCAACTAGGGTAAAGACTCCTATTCCTAAGAAGCAGAGCGGAAAGTATAATGTTAACACAATAATCTATACGAATCGTGTCTCAGTGTTATGATTTGAGGTGCACAGTGAGAAATACTGATACCTGGCAGCACAAGGTTTTTGAGTATTTCAGTGCCGGTTGCAGTGGCGTTGATGAGACACACATGGGCATTTTCAAGTGTTTCCTGTCCATGATCTCCCCACAACCTGATACAAACAACATATACCAACCAGTAAATGACCAGTGTATAAGTATAGCTATAATAACATCATCTAAGACAGACAGACAACAGTCAAACAGATTAATACATCCAGTGGTTTCTGATCAGCTGGGTTGTTAGTAGGCTAGATTTGGAGTTTAGGCTGATTATGTTGCTGTAGTGTAATGAATTAAAGAATGATGAATCTGATGTAACTCTAAAATGATTAAAGCTCTTGCTATGACCGATGGGCCTCTAACGTTACGTATGTCAAATTTAATGCGATAGGAAAGCTTAAATCTAATGCTGAAGGAGAATCGCTGTGCATGTATACTGCATTATTCTGTTGTTTAACCCCCGACCGATATGTACCTGAGCTGCCGATCATACTTCTGCTCTTTGCTCGTTTTGTTGTCTGTCATGGTCTTCTGTCTCTATCTGTGACGGCTTGATCCTACCCGCACGCTGCTGTTTCACTATTTGGAGATTGACATTCGCAGATTCGTTACAGGCAGACATGTTAATCTTCTGTTTGACCAAGAGGTGGAGCCATTGCGCCCTTGAATAATATGCCGTAGCTCATTTGATATTTGTCCATCTTGGGGACTTTTAACATTTTTTTTTTTCTTCACAAGAATTTGATTTGTTGATTTTTCTACTATGTGAAAAGGACAACAGAGGTTTATTCAGAGTAACACTGGGTTACAAAATGAGGATTAGATTTGAAACGTTGATGAAAGACTCACTTTTTCACAGTCATCTGTGTCAAAATGTGGCTCAGTTTACACAAATTCACTCTAATGCTGACACTATCAGCACCACATCTTTCCACAAAATAGCTACAGTTTATCACAAAACAAAACAAACAAACAAACAAATCACAGTCTGGTTTCCAGTGTTGAGAAGGTTACTTTGAAAATGTAGGTTACAGATTACAAGTTTCCCTACTTAAAATGTAATAAGTAGTATAACTTCTCAATTACTTTATTAAAGTAATGTAACTGATTACATCTGATTACTTTTCGATTACTTTTCTAAATTTCTAATGTTTTCAACTGTTAATCGTTTTCAAGCATGTAAACCAGGCAGGGTTAACATTAGTAGCTACTGAACACTGATTTCTGTCAGACTTTCGAAAGCCTTCGTCACTTGAATTAAGATTATAATATTTTTATAATATTTAAAGGAGACACTGGATGCAAAATATCTTCATTTGCATATAAATGTGTCTTAGCAGTGTGTGGACACAACCACCCTACAACGATAAAAATCCAAAAATGTTATCCCCCCAAAACCTAAACAGTTATCAGGCCATTTTGATTTTCTGAGCAATATGATGTCATATTGCTCAGGCCCCTCCCACGACAGCTGACATACTGTCCTTAGTATTAGTATATTTCCAGCCTCAGTCAGTTGTATGAAGTCAGTCATAATCCGCACTCGAGCAGCTGTAGCGACAACAATGTTTTGTATGCAATGCAGGTGTTTTGTTGTTAGATGCAGAAGAATAAGAGTCCTAATTATCTCCAGACATCAGAGCCACTGAGGACGCAGTGGATTAGCTTTTGATTTTGATGGTAATGCGCCAACGAATACACCTAAATTTCTCACGCTTTATATTTTTTTATGATTATTTGCGAATCGCCTTTGCTCTTCCACGGAAGAGAGTGGCGGGGTGAGCAGAGCTCATTAGCATGTAAAGAGATCTGCACCGAAACGAGTCTTTGCATAGCTATGACAGGAAACACTGGAATCTAACAATGGCTTTGAAAAAAAAAAACAGTTAATCTTTAAAAAAAATAAAGCATATACATAAGCCCATATAGGAAATAAAAGAGTTATCAAATAAGCATGTCATAAACTCCTGAAACATTGGTGTTTCATATTTTAGAGCACTCAATGCAATTTATGAAAGAAATCAATTAAATCTGTATGTGGGAGTGTGTGTAAAAAAAAAATCAGATGTAACCCCCTTGTAATCCTTAAAGGAACACTCCACTATTTTTGAAAATAGGCTCATTTTCCAACTCCCCTAGAGTTAAACAGTTGAGTTTTACCGTTTTCGAATCCATTCAGCCGATCTCCGGGTCTGGCGGTAGCACTTTTAGCTGTAGCTTAGCATAGATCATTGAATCGGATTAGACCGTTAGCATCTCGCTCAAAAATGACCAAAGAGTTTCTATATTTTTCACCCTGAGAGCCACAAATAAAGAGAAAAGGTCTCCCCCTGGGTATCTTTTCTTCACTTCAAGTCCTCAAATGAGCTAACTTCACTTTATCATGACAGCTTCCTACCGGAGGACGTTCACCTCCTCAGTGGCCTTCAAGAAACAAAAAGCCACTGCAAAGGCTGGTATTGATCCAGCATTATTTGTTAATTATAATTATCAAAGAGCAATATTCAGTTGTCAGTGTTGTTGTTGTTTTTTTTTCTTGAGTGTCTCACTATAGTTCCCACAGTAAATGCACAAACTTGTTTACCTTCAATGGAATGCAAGTTGCTTTGGATAAACATCAAATGTATAGTGTTGTCATAAATAAATCATTACACTTAAACATATGTTGCAACAGTACATACAACATCTCCAACCTGTTCTGTTATTTCCTATTTATAATACTTCTTGTTGCATTGCATTGCTATTCTTGTTTTGACAACTGTATCTCTGCCATGGCATATGAAGTGAACTTTTCATTGGTTCTAAAACTAAAAGCTGCCTAGGTTTTAAGTAGCTATTTTGGTGTTAATAATTTTGGAAATTACAGTTATAGAGGAGTTGAGGTAAGCCTCCCAGACAGCAGCTCTGACTCAAACACATTATTTTTATTGCATCATACTCAAGTCATTGTTTTGAAGTAACATGAGCATGCTGTTAGAGCAAAGTGTAAATGTCTCATCATGGTGCACTTTTTGCTGGTGTTAAATGTTTTATTGCTGTCACAGCTGTTTTCACAACTTACGATTTTGACATATGTCCTCATCTCTCTCTAGAATCTGTTATTTGAATGTGGAAAAAAAATATCTTGATGTAATCATCAGTCCCATGTCACTAGGTTTCAGTTGCGGGTAGTTGTAGTTGTACTTAAAAGACCTTTTTGTAACTTTAAACGTTCACACACACACACAGTAAATAAAAATATAATATGTATTGGTCTGGGTTTTGTAATTTACATACTATATTACAAATATAAATATGTTGGGATATTCCCGACAACCCTACAGTGAAGAATGGATGAATGAAAATATTAGAATTATGCACACTGTTTATTTGTTATTTTAACCCATCCGTCCAGGATCATTTGCCCCACATTGTACAGGTTTGGTGTCAGGCACCTTCATTTTTAAACAGCGCCACGGGTTCTCAGCAGACATCAGACATTAGAATGGGCAGGCATTCACCCTGAACCACGAAATGATCATGTAGCTATGAGTTGGTTTTTTTTTTTCAGACAATGTGGTACTCATGTTAATGATTCACAAGTAGAGTAATTTGTGTGGTAATTGTCTGTCAGTGAAATTTCTTTTGATTCATGTAAACCTGTAGAGCATATGCACCACAGAAACCTATATAAAAACACAACACATTTTATTTTTTAATTAACTTTAAAAATATAACTAGATTTCAAAATAATTAATTAGTTATATAATAATAATATTTTTTTTATATTCATTCATTTTAATATTTTAAATGCAAATTTTCATAAATTACTATCCATAATGTCTATTCATCAGACATGTTTTACCACAATAATAATTATGACTGCTCTTTCTCTCATTTTGTTCCTTTTTCAGCATCCAACAATGAAGGTTATCAAACACTATAAAACATCAGTTATTCAATAAATATTGTTGTTAAGTGTTTGAAGTCTTGAAGTCGAAATGATATTGACCTAATAATAAAAGTTTGGTTTGCCCAAGAGTTTAGATTGACGCTGTATCATGCTGTTTTACACAACAGTTTCGTTCCTGCAGTGGTTATTTAAACCCAACAGGAAATATTTGTTACTTATTGTCATGTTGGCTTGTTTTTACCAAATACCACACTAAATAGCCTACATAAGGTGAAATAAATTGAATTAAAGATTTTTAAAAAGGCTAGGCTATTTGAAGCAAACGTTTTAATAGCTATTATTCTGCATTCTGAATGTTATCAAGGTAGCATTCAGACTCAGAATGAAGTGTTAGCCCTAAATGTCCACAACCTCACGACGATGGTAATTATGTGCTCCCTTCCGAGTGCTCATGTCAAGTGCTCTGCCCTTCGAAGTAGCTATAAGTAGAGCACAGTGATGCTCACTTTAAAATAGGCTAGAATTCGCCCTCGGTGTTTTTCTATTCAAATCTCAGATGAAATGATTAATTTGCTGTCGACAGTTCAATTAAATGCTACTAATTCAAAGTAGCTATTCAAATATTACACAAGTCAAGACAGAAGTCCTCAACACAAGGCTCGCGGACAGTGCAATCGGCTTTAGAGGAGGCGGGGCCTGAACGGATCAGCTCATCTGTCAATCAATCACAGCACTCTTCATTCACATGTTACCGCTGTCATTAGACTCGATCCACACACACACACAACTCTCCACTGCACCACCCAAGACACTCGCAGACAGCGCACTTCTGCGCTCTTTCCAACATCAACCGCTGTCCAGAGAAGAGGCAGCAATGACTGGCCATCACTGGGGATATGGGGAGGACAACGGTAAGTTAATTGCACGGTCATTTAATTTACATTTATTTCTAAAATGCTGGAAACTGTTTTCAAGAATAATAGCCTACGCCACCGCTCCACTACAGAGTGGAAGCTGTTAAGAAATAAAAACAAATATTTTTGCAACTTCTGTTTAAAATATGTATTAGGCCTATATGGATTTATATAAATTAGGGTTTGCACGACTATCAATTTTAGCCTTCTAGTCGACCAATTAATGTTTACCTTATGCTTATGTTTACCTTACTGCTAATATGTCCATCATTTAGAGATAAAATCCATGATAGACACCATTTGAACCACAGACAAATTACTCAATTATTAGCCTATTTTTAATAAATTATTGTTGTTATTATTATTATTAAATAAAACATTAACATAACTGTTGAATATGCCTTGTGAGAAGCGCATTTGCAGTTTCATCAGATCCCAAAACTCACTCGTCCACCGTGAATAAATCGTCAACTGAATGCCTGAGTTTTATTACATGCAAATTTATTTTTACAGACGTCTACGTGAGAAACAATCACCGTATGAATAGGGTTTAAGATAAAATATTTATCGTTATAGTTGTGGTCCACACCACAACTAACGAGAACGACATAAAAAAATCGATCCGACTTAGCATGAAAGCAAAAAAAAAA